AAATTGAAGGTTTTAAACTATATTGATTGAAGAAAGATGATTTTGGGGAGATTCTTCTAAATATTTTGGAGATGAATGGTTTTGGTGAGAAAACCTAGAAATTGGGTTTTTCTTTGAAAGATGTTGTCATATTTATTTTGTGTACCAAAATAAATGGATGTTTTGAAAATTGTTTATTTATATATAAATGACGAATTTTGTTAAAAAAATGAGAAATGTTGTTTATTTTGGAAATTGTTGTCAAAATGTTGATTTAGTCTTGAATTGACTAAATTGTTGAGATTGCTCGAAATGTAGGAATTACGTTATTCTCTTGAATAAATTGGATATAAAAGTATATATATATATATATATATATATATATATATATATTCATCTTGTGGAATTTTGTTGAAAAGAAGATTGGGAATTTTGATTACAATGATATATTGTGTGGAACAATTGAATATTGAAGTAATTTTGTATTGCATTATTAAGCATACATTGGCATTTCAATTCATTCGACTATGTTAAGCTTTGGAAATTTGCATTAGGAAAAGAATGTTGGGAAATGGGTTTTCATGAAATGGTTTTGGGCTAAATACGGTGGTAAGTCTTAATAGGTGGTGTAGATGAAATTGTTTAAGTTGGCCTGAGTGTCCTTGGTAAAACACCAAAAAGTCGGGCGGATAGGTGTTGAGCCTTCCGGTTAATATCGGTAAAAATGACAATTGGTAGTACTTGTATAGTCTACTCTCAGACACCGACCTAAGGATTGACAGAGTTGTATTTACCACATCCTTTAATTAAATTGATAAATTTTGAACAGTTAAAGTTGCATAACATCATTTACTTTGTTAATGATTTCCTATTGGGCTTTATGCTTACCCTACCAGATTTTTATGCAGGAAAAGACGTAGTGAATCCGCCTAATTGAGGGCGTGGAAATGTGTGTGTTGAGAGCATTAAATTTCTCATTTGCTGTGATCCTATTTGTAAGCCAAGGGCTATGTATGTCTGGGTTTGAATAATTATTTTGTGTACCAGGCTTAAGCCTTGGAAGATTGTAAACCCTTGGGGGTGCTTATTTGGTTATTTACTTATTGTTGAATCAATATAATATCGCATGAGGAACTATTATTATTATGTAATGCAAGTATGTGAAGTTATATTTGGTTTTCCTTTAAGAGAGCCATGATTGTTGCATTATCATTTGGGCTAAAAATTTGGGATGCTACATCCCCGATGTGAAATTATGATTATACCCCTTTATATATATAAACCAAACCCTAAAACACAGTTCACATACAAGCAGACTGACCAGTGACCACCTCTCTCTCTCTCTCTCTCTCTCTCTCTTTCTCTCTATCTCTCTAAAATCCTCCCATTACTGCTGATCTCCCTCCCTCCACTGTCCTCCTTTCCCTCCTCCCATTACTGTCGATCTCTCTTTCTCTGCTGTCTTCATCTCCCTCCTCCTCTGCTGTCCTCCTCTCTCTCCTCCTATCACCGCCAATCTCCTTTCTTCTTCGATCTGATCGAAAGTGAACTCAGATCTACAAAAAATCAAGGCCAGAACAAGGCGTCGCTGCTGGTGAGCAAGGTGTCTCCGTTACTGTGCTTCTCTTTCATACTCTTTTTCATCCCTTTTTGTAGATACCATTTGATTTTTACAGTATATATGTTGCGATTTGCTTGATTTTGTTTCGGATCTATCTATTTTGGTTGTTTCTGAGATATAATTGATTTGTATATGTGTTAGTTGTGATAATGACTTAAAGTTTCTTCGATGGAGATATAATTGATTTGTATATGTGTTAGTTGTTTATATTGAATAAAGATTTCTTCCGTCTGCCTCCAAAAAGAAAAAAAAAAAGGGTCGGGGATATTTTTGTCAAGGTTGGGGAAACCCAATTCCCGTTAGGGGGCGGGGAAGGGAGGGTGATGGATTCCCTGTCGGGGATCGGGGGCGAGGACATGGAGTTTTTTACATTCGGGGAACCCAGCCTCGATCCGTTGCCATTCCTAGGCCCAACTCTCAATAAGTCCTAAAGCACAAACTGAATGCGAGGTTTTTTATTTTTAACTAACTTTTTTGCATTTTATTTTTATGAAAATTTTATTTTTCTACTTTTAAAAATATTTTTTTGGAGTTTATTCGCAACATTTATTATAGGTTAGTCTAAATATTTTTTTGTAGGGCATGTGTACGAGAAAACTTTTTCTAAACCTTTACAGAAGATATATATATATATATATATATGTATCAACAATGATATATCTCCCTAAATGAAGGAGTTTTAAAGAGCACTAATGAAATAGAAAATAAAAAAAACAACAATAACAACAAGAAGACACAAACATTACTACCACAGTGGGGCTCACCCCCAATTAGAGTCCCTAGAGCTCTTTTATTAGAGCTTTAAAATATTTTTGTATAAGTATATATGAGAAATTCTAATATGCATACTCTTAAAAGAGATGTACCATATATACTTTTAATTATATTATTTTTTTATTTTGTTATGATCAATTTTGATTTATTATTTTAGTTATGACTCATGAAATCTTTAGTTATATCTCATGTTATGGCTAGTTATGATATTTTATTTTTTTTAATTATAACTCAGAAAGTATTAAATTATGTTATTTTTTTAGTTATGAGGTGCATTACTTGCCTTTCGAGGGGTGTGCATTAGTTATGAGGTGCATTATTTTTTTTAGTTATATATTTCCCTATGTATATATATTTTAAACACTTACTATTGGGGTCTTTAATAAAAAATAATTATATTATGGTCCTTTGGATAAAGGGATTTATTACAAACATTTAGACAGAAATATGTTTCAACATTTATAGTTAAGGATTTTTGACAATGACGTTTCTTTATTTATTTATTTCTTTTTATATGTCGAAAAAAGAACTTAAAAAGTTGTTAGAAAATAAAAGTCAGCCAGATTTATATTAAGTGCGCTTCATATCATACTAAAATTAAATTTATATTATATATTTTATTTTTTAACCTAGTTTTAAACCAGAAGATGCTTAAATAAATAAACAAATAATCAGAAGTCAATCCACCACAAAATCAAAATGATGGATTGAATCTTCCATTTCCAAACCAGGCATACCGTCTTGAAAAAGTTTTACACACTTATTATTTAAGATATGGGTCTTACTAACAAGTGTTTTTGAGATATAAGAGTACATGATCTTTTTGTATTTAAATTTAAATTATTTTACATTGAATTCAATACATTTATTATTATTATTATTACTATTATTATTATTATTATTATCACCCAAATTCTAATTCTAATACTAAACAATATTACAACACTACCTCTATATTTTGTGAATATTTGTAAAATGTGCAAATGGATAGCCTCTAATTTTATAAAATTTACTTTAGTAACTCTATTTTACTAATAGTATTTCACAATGTATAATGAGATAATCTCCAACTGTTTCATATGTCAATTATAATAGTGTCAATTTCATCCAATCAATTTTATTTATACATCAGGCACATATTATATTTTTTATTTTAAAAGATCAAAAGAAGTATGTATATTTTTTATTTACTAGATTATGTTAACTAACAAAATGATTTTAACGGATGATCTAATGAATTATATAGTGAGATCTAATTACTAATTCTAAATTTAGAAAATAAGAAATAAATTGACTAGCTAGATTTATTTATGTTTCTCGTTGAATACTTCTTCTAGAACTCTTACATAAAAGAAAAATATTCAGTTAATAATATATCAAAATCAACTCAATTTTGTTAGGCAAATATTCGCCCCTTGGCAAACAAATGTATTCTGCTTCTGTAGAATTTCAACACAAAAGTGATGAGTGCTATTGTTTAAACTGATGATCATGTTTGTTTGGCCTTTTACAAGAGGGGATTGGATTAACAATTCGTGGAACCCATCAAAAAAGCACATGTTTGGTTGAGCTAAAATGTTATAGGACTATTAGTCCAATTGGCTTACCAATCCTCCCAAAGGGTGGGATTAACATACTCATATTGGTAATCCAATCCCCTTAAATTAAAGTAAGTTTAATTTTTTTTTTCAAATAATTTATTTGTGAAATGAATATATATATATATATATATATAATTTATTACCGAAGATTAAGTGTGATTTTTTTTTTACTAAAAAAATATGAGTTTTTTTATATGTAATGAATTTTAAAATGATTTTAAAGTAAAATTTATGTTTTTTAACTGTCTCTAAATTGGTGTACTTAAAAAGTATTAAAAAATAATTATTATAAAGTTCTAAAATAAACACAATAATTAAAAAAATTAAAAATTAAAAAACATTAATACTATCTATAATATTAGTAATCCGGTTGTGTACAACCAAACATTCTTTATCATACATTTCTAACCTAATACCACTCACTACTAGAAAAAAAAGGGTTTTTGCATTGACAGAATGCCGTCTCAAAAGTGGTTCATACCATCTCAAAAGTTTTTAGCGTCGGCATGGCAAGGGGCGAGACTAATGGGGTCACTAATACTTTTAGCGATGGCAAACCTGTGGTCTCAAAGTATTTGTGACAGTAATCCATACTAAATGAGACGGATACTTACCGACTCCAATAAACATGAAAAAATATACTTCTAGTGTCCAAGAGAAATGCTGTCACCAAAACTATTTGTTGCATCGGTTTATTGTCACCGTTAATAGCTCATGTGGAAAAAAAAAAAAAAAAAATTCACCATCAGATTTAGCGACACTTTTTTGACATCACAAAAAATATAATATCTTTTAAAAATAAATTTCTATTTGAGACAATATTTTGATAGTCATAAATAGATATCTATTTTTTATAAATAAGATTTTAGTTATTTATTTATTTATTTATATTTTTGTATATTATTCATTCAAATTCAAATATTAAGCCAACCAAAAATATAAAAAAAATAAAAAAATTCATTGCACATTCACTCACATTCAAACCAAATATTAATAGAAACATATTTAATCAATATAAATCCACCATCTGTTCAATTACATCAAAATATTAACAATAATTCGTTAATATAAACTATAAGATATCAATAAGCTCTAAATATTAAGTATAGAATTATCTAAAACTTAAGTTTAGATGGCAGCCAAAATAATATCCAAAAAAACAATTAGACCCAATGCCACCATCAATCTCTACTACACCACTATTCTTTCTGCAGAACCTATAAACAAAAATAGAAAAAATGGCAGCAAAAACATAAAGATAGATGTTCAAAAAAACAATTAGCCTCCATGCCACCATTAATCTCTACCACACCACTAATCTTTCTGCAAAACCTGAAAAAAAAGAAAAAAAAGAAAAAAGAAAAATGGTAGGCCAAAAACATAAAGATGGATGTTAAAAAAAAAAAAAAAACAATTAGCCCCATGCCACCATTAATCTCTACCACCACTAATCTTTTTGCATAACCTGAAAACAAAAACAAAAAAACAAACAAGCCATGCAAACAATTAAATGAAGCATGTAGTGAAGGTCAACAATACCGCCAAGGAGGTGAACAATTAATCCTATAAAATATTTTCAGCAAGAGTAGTGGTTGTAGTTTTCCATAAATAAAATAAAATAAAATAAATCTCTACAGAAAATAAACTCTTTTTTTTAGTCAAATCAACAACTGATTTCTTCTATTAATTGTCGCCATTACTTGTTCCATAAAAAATCCTATTTTCTTACCTTCAATTAAACTCATTAAACCTTGAACGAATCCATTTCACATTTTGTTCTATTGCATGCCTACCAGGAACTAAATATCAAAGTTGAGTTCAATTCCAATAGTATGTGTCCCATTTTTACTCCAAATTGAGTGTTCAAACTCAACAATGTGGTAATCAATTTCCCAACCTAATATATATTAGAGATGTGACTTGATTGTGTGGACCATATTCTGTTTATTGAGAACATTAATTGTGTCATTAAACTATGCCAATTAACTGGAGGCAATTGCACTAATATTATAAAGCCAGGAGCAAGTTTTAGCAAACATTAACAATGATGATTATTGTTACATGAGAGCTTTCATTTGAGAGAAAAAAAGTTCAAACTAAAACAGTTCAATAATTGGATTTTCAATAGGCTCGCCCTCAAACCTCCTAACAGCACTAATACTATATTATGCAATAAATACAACATATTCGGGTTTTGATTAGGCTCACCACCTTCAACCTCCGAACATCACTAAGGATTTCTAGTAGGCTAATCCTTAACCTCAACTGCATGTGTGTTTGTGAATATTGCATGAAGTAGAAAGGAGATACCTGCTCATGAGAATCCAACAATTCATCATCTTGGATGTCATCTCCTACGGACTCCCTAACTCGTTGATTTCCACCAGAGGCATAAGGAATCTATATAAATGAAATTTGATATTTGTTATTAAATATAACAAATGGGAAAAAAATATTTCTTAAAAATATTCATGGTTTGATATTTCTTAAAAATATTCATGGTTTTATACTCTAACTGTATGGAACCTGTGCCCCCTTGGGATCTTATGAAGTCCATCCATTCTCTCACCTGTTCAAACTCTATCTTTAACTTGTTAGTAATCCTCTGCTCAATCTCAGTTGTGAGCCTCTCCTCAATCTCTTGAGTGACTGTGTGGCGTACTTGTTAAGTGATTTCCTCAACCGTCAATGACGAGGACGCTTGTGATGGACCGACTTCTTTGGGATACACTGCACTTCAAGTTACGCCTATCCCATATGTCTTACAGTATCCATGTCCATTTGTCCCTACCATGTTGTGAAAAATCTTTTCTAAAGCATCATTCGTTTGGAGGGGCTCAAGTATCCTAGATAGTTGCTCATTATATTCACTCTACAATTTACAAATATTAGCATAAAAGCAACATACCAAAATAAAAATATGAAACCAACATGCAAAGACGCATACAAGTAAAGACGTCACATCTGGATCATTTATGTTGCGTGCCTTAATGTACACACTCCTCTAACATGAACTGCATCCACATGTAATTCAAGTTAGGCAGCAGGAAAAAAAATAAATAAAAAAGAAGAATAAATCAAGTTATTTGAGGAGATCCCCTGACAAGTAGGCGCTTAGTCTTGTGTATGATTCACATTACGATTGTTTCAATTCAATGCTCAAATAGAGCCATTATGCAAAGACTAGCCAATGTCAAAAAGGAAAGAAAATGAGAAGAATAAGTAGAAGAATTGATATTGAGATGTTTCTACACATTCTTATTCCATCCATATATATATATATATGTGCAGATAGAAGTCACACTAATGACATAAAACCTTATCCCCATTTCTAAAAAACTATTATTTTCGCAACACAATTGTAGGCTCAAAAGAAAGGACGTAGCCAAAAATCAAGATTGCTTAACTACCCTATCCTGATCTAGGTTGTGAGAGAACTTTTTATTTTGGCCTAAAGCTCTCATATTGTGAGAATTCAATTTTAGTGCCTAGACCATTTTGTTCTTTTGTTTGTTGTCTCTCGAAGCAAGCGGCCTTTGCCTTTGTGCTTGTTGAGATTAACAAAAAATCTGTAGATTTAATTTCAATGCACTACACAAAATGTGAGAAACTATGCCCCAGCTCATTGAAATTGCATCAAGGATCAAGAATAAGATCCTTCTATGATTAATGATCTCCTAGGTCAGAATTTCAAATATTTACTTCTATTAAAAACTAGCAAACCTTATCATTCTCTTATGGCAAAAGAACAATATCCAACTTACCTTAACAATAGCAAGAGTTAGCAACAGAGAAATACAAGTTTTGAAACTTAAAATTCCCAAAACAACAAGATGCACTTCAATTCATTCCAGAAAAGGTTATTTTAAATAATTAATAATTTTATTAAGCTTGTCAATCCGTGCGTTTTTCCCATATAATCCAAAAAATGAGGTCTTCTTGACCAAACCTATGCAAAGTAAATTATATAAATAGAACATAAATCCTGAAAGCTTCATAAGAATTACCACCTACTACCTACTACCAAACTCATCCTATGTCAATTTATACCAAACCCAGGCAGATGCATCGAATTCAAAGCCTGTGATTTACCTAGATGAGATTGGTGGCAAGACTTGAAATTCTTTTATCAGGAACTTTAGCTGATGATATGTTCTTATGGTGTAAAAGAATTTCAGGATGCTAGTTGTATATTCTATTAGAGAATGAGTGGATTGTTTGGAAATGATTGAGTTTTTAATGACTAACTGGGAGGAGTTATTTAGGGACAAGTTTCCAAATCTTTGAGAAAAAATCTATAACTTAACAGGGCTTCTATTGTTGGGTAATTTGGTTTCCAGTCTATAAAACCCAAATTGGATTGATGAGGTGAAATACTGTAAACACAAATCATATAGCAAAATTACATTGCATGTAACGCCCTAAAAAAAATACACATAAACCCAACATTTGTGATATACATAGACAAAAGAATAAAATATATTTCCATTCATCAGAGTATTCTTACAAAAAGTAATACATGTTGACAACAAAAGTAAATACCCTGTAGGCTTACAACTTTCCAAGTCAACACTTGGTTTCAACAAAATAAGCGTTCTAACTCTTTACACAAAAGCCCTTGGCTTGAATTTACATGTATCACCAAAAATAACAGAATAAACAAAAGAGTCTTCAACTCCCAAACCTTCCAAGTTATGTCCTTGGAGGTGGCATAAAACCTAAGCCTAAAAATGATGTCCCATATAGGGTGAGCCAACGCCCAGTAGAGATATGCTAAACATAATATGAGCAATAACTAAAACACAGGCATTTGATAAATGTTTAACTCGAATAGACAAACATATATCTCTTTCCATTTTATTATCCAAACCAATTCATAGATATGGTTCCTTATTCAGCCAAACAGTTCATGACGAGCCTACAACTCATACTAACAATACTTCAATGATTCAATTTCAAATGAGACTATAACTCACATAATTAACACATCAACACTTCCATTTCAAATGAGATTACAACTCAAATCATCATCATTCCAATACTTCAATCATCTACGTTATACAAACGTAATTCAAATTTTGGGACTTTCACCCTGGACACTCCGGCCAACTTAGTTATCACTGGAGTCCATCCCCTATCTCCTCCCAAATCCGGTTTAGGAGTCCATCCCCTATCTCCTCCCAAACCGTGGAGTACATCTCCTATATCCTCCCAAACTGTGGAGTACATCCCCTATCTTCTCCCAAACAACATACATATACAATGTATTTAAACACTTATCATATACAATGGTCAAGCAAAGCACATATTCAATGTGTTATTCCTTCCGTCATATTCAATGACATACTTAATTGATTAGTTATAATTCACCTAATCATCAGTGTCTACAACAATCAAGACTATCCTCCACCGATAACCCAAAACATTTATTTCTAAACAGTTAATAAATTGTCAAACAGATAAATTATTCACAATGTCAAAGGTGAGTGATTAATAAATCCAACTCCACCATTAAACCTCATAATTACCCAATTTCATTATTTCCAACTCAATTTCATGTTTTCATAACATTCCCGAATTAATTATACCAATTAATTTATAACAATAAATTAGGGCTTTTCTCCCCCTTTTCTCAACATTGACCCAAAGGTCCAAATATCATCAATAAACATCAATACTTCATTTTAAGACCCAAAATACACATATATGGGTTAAAAGAACAAAACCCCTTTTTATTCATTTTGAAACCCTAACACCTAAAATTTTGCAACTTCAACATTTAATCAAAATGGCTACAAGTTTATGTCAAAGACCATAAATATGAGTAGGAATCCCTACCTCGAAGTTAGACGCTCAAAGGAGTAGATGAAGAAAACTCAAAGTGCTCCAAATCCATGATTTTTCAGATCAAAGTGAAGCTCACACCACCCTCTATCTTTCTTACAAAGAGATTTGGATGGAAACACTCTAGAAGTAGATGAAATCTTAAAGAGAGAGAGAGAGTCTGTAGAGAGAGAGAGAGTCGGATCTTGGGTTTTGAAAGTAAAAGAGATAAAAAAAGTGATTTAAAATAACACAGTCGCGATTTGATATGCACAGAGTCCGCTCGAGCGGAGAATAGGATGCTCGATCGTAAGACACAAAACTGGACCCGCTCGAGCACAAATATACCCACTTGAGTGCCAAGGCACAATAGCAAAACACCACCCGCTCGAGCGTAGATTACACTTCTCCAGTACTTTTGCAGACTCCAAACACCCGCTCGAGCACAAACCCGCTGGAGCGTAAGGAACGCCGCTCGAGCGTGAAAAATAACTCTGTAATATATTTGCAGACGCACAAAATGCTGAAAGGATGCAAACTCCGCTCGAGCACAGCAAGACCCGCTCGAGCGGATCATCAAAAATCTGGGCAACAAGATTAGAGACTAAGACTCAACCACCCTATTCAAAACACGCCCAAGACATCCTAAAACTCATATACCAAGAATTAAAGGATGGAATGAGGCATAAACAACAATACTTAATCATTGACTCAAGTCCGGGATACTGTACATAAAGGGGAAAACCCGGGATCGCTATAACCTCCCCCCTTAAAGAATTTCGTCCCCGAAATTAGATAAATAAATTTCAAAGACATGATTTCTCAATTCTCAACGATATTACAATTCAACATTCCATATCTTGACCCATTACCGGTCATCCCATCTCTTTTCAAGTGGCAATTCACAATGTAACTCAATATGCATTAACAACATGCTTTTCTTTGAAATTTAACAATTCCCAACACCACATTCCACCATTCCATAACATATTCAATGTTAATGATATACTTGCATTTCTATTTTACATTTAACATATACAATGTCAAATTAAACTTCCATTTTCAAGGCATATTCCACCATTACAACATTTCCATAAACCAAAACATATACAATGTTCTTAGAGTTTATCAATCAAACAAAGTCTCCAATACATGATTAAACATTAACAAACAAGTCCGGATATTTCTCACGGACACTCAACTCACGTTCCCAAGTGGCTTCCTCCACTCCGTGATGTTGCCACAAAACCTTTACCAAGGGTATCGTCTTGCCTTGCAAGACTTGTTCCCGTCTATCCAAAACCCACACCGGTCTCTCCTCATATGAGGCATACTCATCAAGCTCTAAGTCGGTCCAATCCAAAGCATGTGATGGATCCGGCTCGGACTTCTGAAGCATACTAACTTGAAACACGTCATACAACTCGAACAACTACGGCGGTAAAGCTAAATGGTAGGCAACCTCGCCAATCCTCTCAAGGATCTCGAAAGGGCCAATAAATCGAGGGGATAACTTCCCACTCTTCCCAAACTTCATCAAACCCCGCCTTGGTGATATTTTCAGAAAGACGTGATCACTCGCCTCAAATGCCAAAGGCCTCCTCCTACGGTTGGCATAAGTCTTTTGGCGACTCTGGGCTGCAACAAGCCTCTTACGGATAAGCTCAATTTTCTCCGTCGTTTCCTGTACCAACTCCGGGCCTAACAAAGGTGCATCATCCACCTCGGCACAACACACTGGAGACCTACACGGTTGGCCATACAAGGCCTCAAACGGTGCCATGCTAATACTCGATTGAAAACTATTGTTGTAGGAAAACTCCACTAAGGGTAAGTA